CACGGATTCTGGAAAAAATGTAAAAAGAAAAAGAGTTTATGTATTTGAAAAAAGTTCATTGATTCAAAAAAGTCCATGAGTTTTGTAAAAATGTTCACGAATTTAAAAAATTGAATTGAAATTGTTTTCATGCATTAGATAAAAAAGAAATACTCCCTCCGTTCCAAAATAAGTGTCTCAACTTTGTACTAACCTTAGTACAAAGTTGTACTAAGTTTGAGACACTTATTTTGGGACGGAGGGAGTACTATATAAGGAGCTTCGAACAAAATAAAAAAGAAAATAAAATTTTGGAATATATTAGTCATAAGAGGTGAGGTGACGTGGTTGGTAAGGATAATTTGCACCGAAAGGAGAGGTCACGAGTTTGAATCACCTCGTGCGTGCACCCTTTTTTTTTAGCAGTGTAACAGAAAAAAACACATTTTCAACGGACAAAAAAATACAAATGGGCCGTGTATTTTTTAGCAGTGTAATAGCAAAAAAGGATTTTTTTAATACATAGAAAAATACAAATGGACTTGCCCATCGCGGAGGGCGGGTGCGCACTGTAGTCAACACTGCTGCTCCTTGGCCCACCTGCCAGATGAATTCCTGCCACATTAGCGTTTTTATGCCTCAAACGATGCCAGGGTTGGATTTAGACCGGGATTGCATAGTTCAGGGTGCAATCGATCGAGATTTTGACTTGAGGGTTAATTTCACCGAACCTCTATGAGTTCAGGGTTTAAATTAGACTTTTTTCTTGTTCTTCTAGTACACGATGCACGATTAGACTAATCTCTTGGAGTGACAGTTTTATTCAACTCTTGGAGAGAATTATAGTGCGGCTCAAAAGCTGGAAAGAAAACTTTTTGTCTATGCGAGGAAAGGAAATTTTACTCAAGGCGGTTATATAATCCATTCCAGTTTTTGCTATGTCTGTCTTTAACATACCAAAGAAATTATGCAAAGAAATGACGGATGCAATGTCTGAATTCTGGTGGGGAGATACAGAGGACCAAAAGCGTATGCATTGGATGGCATGGTGGAGAATGTGCATCCCAAAGAAAGACGGAGGTATGGGCTTTCGTGATATGCACTCTTTCAATTTAGCTATGTTGGCGAAGCAATCTTGGAGACTGATTTCAAATCCAGATTCTCTATGTGCGAGAGTTCTTAAAGCTAAATATTACCCAAATTGTCACTTGTTGAAGGCGGGTCCGAAGAAGGGGTCATCTTTTACCTGGCAAAGCATAGTAGCAGGTCTACATACCTTCTGTAGAGGACACATTTGGAGAGTGGGTTCAGGGGAGACGACCAACATCTAGGAGGATCACTGGATTCCAGGTAGCATAAATCGCATGATACAGACTCCCAAGTGACAAATATTATTGCAAAAAGTTAATGAGCTCATTGATCCAACGACTGGCAAATGGGATGAGTGTTTAATCCGTGATATTTTTTACCCTATAGATGTGGACAGAATCTTGCGGATTCCCTTAAGCGAACACCAAGACGAAGATTTTGTGGCTTGGAATTATACAAAATCTTATTCATTCTCCGTCCGATCCGCGTATTATATTGAATGGGATCGCTCTCATCGTCACAGGTTGACGCAAGCGGATGGACAAGGGACATCAGGTCGGAATCCGGTATGGGACATTCTATGGAAACTGAGGGTTCCGAGCAAAGTGAAAATATTCGCGTGGAAGGCCTTGCATGGGATTCTCCCAGGTTTGGCTGTACTGACAAACAGGCATATCCCGACTACGGGCCAATGCCCGATATGTACAAAGGGTGCGGAGGACATCAAGCATCTGATGTTTACTTGCTATCGAGCAAAGCAGGTATGGCGAGCCTTGGGCATTTTGGACATAATTGAAGAAGGTACACGCATTGATAGGTCTGGATCAATTGTATTGGAAGAGATCTTGCGGCGACCAAACAACAAGTCTCCTGTACTTGGTCATGTTGGGCTGAAAGAATTAATTGTTGTTGGATCCTGGTATATTTGGTGGCAACAGAGGGAGTTTGTCAAGGATGCGTACGTTGCACCGCCGGCACGATCAGCGTTCAGAATACAGGCAATAGCAAGTGAGTTTGGTGTTGTAGGTCCTAAAGCTGTCACAAATGAAATACTATGGAGCAAGCCACCAAAGAACACGTACAAACTGAATGTGGACGCATCTTTCTCTGGTGATGGAACGGGAGGGGCAGGAGCTGTTATTCGTAATGATCAGGGAGAAGCAATTGCTGGCTCGTGTACACCCCTAAATCACTTACTAGATGTGGCTACGGCTGAAGCAACGGCCCTACAGGAAGGGCTCAAGCTCGTTGAAAAAGTTGGATGTACGCCGGTCATTATGGAATCAGACTCCCTCGAGCTAGTTCAGGCTTTCAATGGAATTGCTCCAGTTTTCACTCCTTACTCAGCGATACTTGCAGAGTGTTTTCAATTAGCTAAGCATTGGGCCTACTTCATTGCATCATTGCAATCCGGAAGCAAATTTGGTGGCGCACAATTTAGCTAGACATGCAGCTAGCACCGGTTCTAGTGTTTTTTGGACTGATAATCCTCCAAGCTTTATTGTTTCAGATGTGATAAACGATGTAACTTCGTTCAAATGTCAATAAAGTGCGCCATGAAAGCTTTCCCAAAAAGAAAAATCTCCTCTCCGAAAAAGGTACATGTCCGCAAATCACCTGCTCGCCGCCACATTATCTCCTTAGCAGTATCCGTGCAGGCGTCTGACGATGGCTATTTGGTCCCGCCATGCAGATTTTCTCTTTCTGAAAATTTTACCATTTTATTTTATTATTCACCTCAAGCTCGCACGAGCTCCAGCTCAGTTTGACACTGTCCCTATTTTGTGCCCTAGTACATGGTCGTACTTATTTCCGTCTTCGCCCTAATAGAAGAGAAAATGCTCGTATTGAGATCATGAAGTACAACCTCGGTAACTTATTGTAAGACATTTTCACATCTTACATTAACTTACAGAGCGAGTATCTAATAGCGAGGTAATGTTTATAGCTTTTCTATCCAAAGAGAAAAAAAAACATATATGTAACCACATTTCTATTTCTACCATGAATGCATCAGTATCGGAAAAATCGTAATTCTGCATTTCATTAAAAACAAGATCAATTCTGTTACAACATGCTTTTTTTTTTTTTACCTTTGAGGACCAACCGTGGGCTTCTACACTCGGTTATCATATTTTTAACTGTAAAACAAAAGCAATTATGGGTCAATAGTCTGAAAGTTTTCCATAAGCACAAGGCATTTTTTTCCAGGTAACCACGTGTATCATTTATCACAAACAAGAAGAATGCAAAGCATGCATGCGGAACCGACCAGAAGGGCTGAGGGTAAACACGCCCGAAGAATTTTGCAGAAAACCTGTACAAGAAAAGAAAAATACAACGGAGTCTTTAGGTAATCCTGCAATCGCCATCGTCTTTGCTAACCATTGTCGGACTTGGACTTAGAGGAGAGACATAGCCCAGAAGGGTGTTGTGAGTTGACGAAGAAGCCTATCGCCGGCAAGGCCTTTGTTGCTGTGATGTGTCACCGAGGATCATCTCGACTCATCTCGAGTCCCAAAGCCTTCGTCAGCCATTGACGTCGTCGAGGGCTCAAGGTTGGGCACCAGATCTGGCACCATCAATCCTCAAGTCCAAATCTGCAACCGCCACCCGCTCTTGCCCACCAGTGATGTCGCTAGGTACGACAACCACCGGTCAAAGACCTAAACATGCCGAACTGAAGAGTCGACGAAAGACATAACCCATCGACTCCTCAAAACTGCCATGGACGCTATTGAGGCATTGAGACACGACTGGAGCCTGGGCATTACTTTTGGATGCATTATCATCATCATGGTCAGAAGCACCGCCCCACAAACGAAGCCTACCCTAACTGTGTGTCGGGGCTGAATTGCCGAGGTCCCTACCCCCCTCCAGTCATCGGAGAAGACGACGTAGGAGGCAGGGACCAATGACGTTGCAGATGGAGGTTGGGAGCGGCAACTCGCCTATCCAATCATCTCTCTCGACAGTTGTTGGAATGAAGCAGTATGAGGAGATGTAAGCGCAAGGCCGTTAGCCATCAGACATGCATGTGATATGCATGCTAAAACTTTGGACAAACCAAATCCAGGTCAAGTTGCTCGACCTGATGAACCACCCTAGTGTGGCTTGACCCCCTAGCCCTTTTTAGGCCAAAATCACTATTTTGATCGTGTTAGGATTTTTTTAGCATGATTTGAACCATTTCAGATTTTGTAGCACGATATGATCCTCTTGTTAACGCCATGGCTTGTGGCGTTTCTGCTCGACCCAGACACGCCAAACCCAACAAAGCTTCTTCTGAGAATAGATAAGTTGCCACGGGCACACGTTGCTGAAAACGCCACCGCCCATGGCATTTCCAGTAACGCCATATGGTTTAGCGTTTCCGCCCTGCCATGTAGGTGTTCAATTGCTACTCGACCAGATCATGGCCAGGCCAGAAACGACAGGCGGTTTGGCATTTCTATGTGGGTTAGAAGCGCAACAAGCCATGGTGTTGCTGAAAATGGTCAGATCGTGTTCAAAATTTCGAAGAAGGTTATTTTGCTCTAAAATTTTCTAACAAGGTAAAAAAGTGATTTTGGCCCTTTTTTAATACGAAATAATCTTTGTTTTTTTGAGAAAACAATACGAAATAACCAATAAAAAAGAACATTAACCATGAAATTCTGGGCCGGCCCATTCCATCTTGATCCCGAACCGCTCGCGAATATCCATCCATCATCCGTGTCGTGACGGAACGGACGGCCATCCTGCCGCGCGTCCTCGCTCACCGCCAAGCCCCACCGCACCACTCCCGTCCAAAACCCCACCCCACCTACCTACCCACTCCCTTCCCTCTCGCCGCCGCAGCCGCAGCCCGACGCTTCGCCGCAGCCAGAGGCCATTCTGCACTCCCCACTCCGCCCCGGAGAGCAGGCCTCGACCCCGAGAGGGATACCGGAATGTCGGCGATGATGGGGGCGCGGCTGGACCTGGCGCCCTTCCTCCTCTCCCCGTCGCCCTCGCCGCCCTCCTCCGCCCTCCGCCTCCGGACCTCCCCGCCCTCTCCGGCGGCGGCGGCGAGGACCCGCTTGCTCGCCCCGAGGGCTGCCGCCGCGGCGACCGCCGTCTCCGCCAAGCCGGCGGCGGCCGCGCCGCTGTCCGCCGACCGCTCCGTCGTCCGCCTCGGGCTCCCCAGCAAGGGCCGCATGGCCGAGCTAACCCTAAGCCTCCTCAAGGTCCCGTCCCCGTGCCCAGTCTCTCGCTTCCATTTCTGGGACTGAATTTTGTGATGGTTTTTGCTGATTTTGTTGCTGTGGTGGTGTTTGGTGCAGAGTTGCCAGTTGTCGGTGAGGCAGCTCAACCCGCGGCAATACACCGCCGACATCCCACAGGTGAGTTCTCATCTCCGTCTCCTCGGCATCACTGTGTACCGTATCTAGGCATGATAAGTGTTTTGTTGCTGTGAGCAGGGACTGAATCAGTAAGTCTTCAGGCCCTGATTGGCTCATTGATAGGACGGCACAGTTTAGAGACACCGTGGTTTGACAGTTTATTGGATTTGTTTAACGTATCATTGCTCGTATGCAGCGTCTCTTTCATGCTTAAACACTGTACCTCGGCATGTCCTGCATTTGTTTCATCTACAATTGACATTAGCATGGGGCTTAATACCACAATACAAACATTCTCTATTTGGGCATATCAATGAGGTGGCCTTCTAATTTTCTGATTATTTTAAAATAGTTAGAGGAGCATCGGTTTATTGCATCAGCCAAGATGTGATACATCAGAAGATTTGTTCCATATCTGATTTTTTTTTCCCAACAGTTCTGTCAAGATGATCCATCGATTGTCCATAATATTGCAGAATAATAATATGTGTCCCGTCTTTGACATAATAAATAATAAATTGGAAGATGTTCAGAGATTTAGACCAACTGGAACATTAACAATCTAAAATATTTATTAGGTTTGCTGTGCTGTGTTGCTTTGTGTTGTAGTTTCACTACAACAACAACAACCAAGCCTTTAGTCCCAAACAAGTTGGGGTAGGCTAGAGGTGAAACCCATAAGATCTCGCGACCAACTCATGGCTCTGGCACATGGATAGCAAGCTTCCACGCACCCCTGTCCATAGCTAGTTCTCTGGTGATACTCCAATCCTTCAGGTCTCTCTTAACGGACTCCTCCCATGTCAAATTTGGTCTACCCCGGCCTCTCTTGACATTCTCCGCCCGCTTTAGCCGCCCGCTATGCACTGGAGCTTCTGGAGGCCTGCGCTGAATATGCCCAAACCCCATCTCAAACGATGTTGGACAAGCTTCTCTTCAATTTGTGCTACCCCAACTCTATCTCGTATATCATCATTCCGGACTCTATCATTCCTCGTGTGGCCACACATACATCTCAACATACGCATCTCCGCCACACCTAATTGTTGAACATGTCGCCTTTTAGTCGGCCAACACTCAGCGCCATACAACATTGCGGGTCGAACAACCGTCCTATAGAACTTGCCTTTTAGCTTTTGTGTCACTCTCTTGTCATAGAGAATGCCAGAAGCTTGGCGCCACTTCATCCATCCGGCTTTTATTCGATGGTTCACATCTTCATCAATACCCCCATCCTCCCGTAGCATTGACCCCAAATATCGAAAGGTGTTCTTCTGAGGTACCACCTGCCCCTCAAGGCTAACCTCCTCCTCCTCACACCTAATAGTACTGAAACCGCACATCATGTACTCAATTTTAGTTCTACTAAGCCTAAACCCTTTCGATTCCAAGGTTTGTCTCCATAACTCTAACTTCCCATTTACCCCCTTCCGACTATCGTCAACTAGCACCACATCATCCGCAAAGAGCATACACCATGGGATATCTCCTTGTATATCCCTTGTTACCTCATCCATCACCAAGGCAAAAAGATAAGGGCTCAAAGCTGACCCCTGATGTAGTCCTATCTTAATCGGGAAGTCATCAGTGTCGACATCACTTGTTCGAACACTTGTCACAACATTATCGTACATGTCCTTGATGAGGGTAATGTACTTGGCTGGGACTTTGTGTTTCTCCAAGGCTCACCACATGACATTTCTCGGTATCTTATCATAGGCCTTCTCCAAGTCAATGAACACCATATGCAAGTCCTTCTTTTGCTCCCTGTATCTCTCCATAAGTTGTCGTACCAAGAAAATGTCTTCCATGGTCGATCTCCCAGGCATGAAACCAAACTGATTTTTGGTCATACTTGTCATTCTTCTTAAGCGGTGCTCAATGACTCTCTTCTTAAACTGTAGTTTCACTGTATAGAAAAAAAATCCTTACTGGTTCATGTAAAACATACCCTTCCGATTAACTATTTTGCATCAGCAAAGCTCTGCAAAGAGAACTTATGCAACCAGTTATTCATAGAGTCAACAAAATTAAACCTGTAAATCTAATTTGTTGGGTAATGGGTATTCGTCAGCTGTTCATACAGTCAGGTTTGAAGTTTGTTCAAAACAACATCCAACCCATAAATCTAATTTGTTGGGTAATTGGTATTTGTCTGTTATTCATACAGTTAGGTTTGGAGTTTGTTCAAAACAACTAGTTTGTTGGGTAATGCGTATTTGGTTGCACCATTGCCATGTACTCCCTCCGTCCCAAAATAAGTGTCTCAACTTATTTTGGGATGGAGGGAGTAGATAATCTGATAAAATCAGGGAAGCAAAAATAAGAATGTCGAACCTGCATCTTCATGTCTGTTGAGTATCTGAAAATTTCAGTGTGGGATATTGAGCCTTTTTTTTGTATGACCTATTTGTGTTTACAAATTACAATATAACTTCCAGCGATTCCCTGCTAATCCTGTTCTGTCGCATGGTGGGCAGCTAAAATCTATAAGTGTTTATGCATACACTTTCATGCCTAGAAATAGTGTTACATTCGCTGTGTCTGTAAAATCTGCCTATATCTAATTAATCTACAGAAATACGTGTGGTGGTTTGAAGTACTGTGAAACAGAGGGAGTAATAGATGGTTATGGTAAAGTTCTAATACACTTTTGTATGCAGGTTCCAAATTTGGAGGTTTGGTTTCAGAGGCCCACTGATATTGTTCGTAAACTATGTTCAGGGGATCTTGATCTTGGTATTGTGGGTTATGACATAATCAGTGAATACGCGCAGGTAAAATTTTGAGGAATAATGTTAAATCTTTTGGCCCAGTGTATGGCTACCTTTAGTTTTAGAAGTTTCTGCTGGACTAAGATCTACTGATTGATTGTTTTCAGTTCCTTTGATATATGCTGATATACATTTAAGATTTTTTATGACAGGGCAATGATGATCTAGTTATTATTCATGATGCTCTCGATTTCGGACATTGTCGCCTGTCCCTTGCGGTATGGTATATCCAAGTACATTTATTACTAACAGCCTAACTATACTCATATAAAAAAACCATTTCTATGATCAGGTGCCAAAGGAAGGTATTTTTGATAGCATCAATACTCTGGAGGATTTGTTAAATATGCCTCAATGGACTGAAGAAAGACCCATGCGTGTCGTTACAGGATTTGGTTATGTATGGTCATGAATAAACTTTAATTTGTTAGTCCGCTCCCCTCATGGAAACTGGTTTGTTGATCATTGATTTTTTTGATTTTATTGCAGGTAGGTGCAAAGTTTTTGAAAGAAAAGGGTTTCAAACATGTTTCATTTTTAGCTGGTGATGGTGCTCTCGAGTCATATCCTGCTGTGAGATTGCTATCTTTAATTTAATTCATTTTTTTAAATTAAATTTCAGTCTGCTTCAATGTGATTGCCTCTCCTCCCTTTGCATTTGATTATTTCATGTATTTATTTCAAAATAAATTGGATGGCAGAACGTTGTGGGTTGTCCATTTCAGTCCACCACTACTCTATAGATCTCAAGAGAACTCAAGGACCAACTTAGAACATGCCGGTCACTTTTTTCTCTACCAATTATGCTATTGCACAGTACTATTTGTAAGGCTGTACTTTTTTCCTTTCTTATTCCTTTGTTAAGTATGATAGCAGTATTACACGAAGCTTTATGAGTATACTGCATATGACCGGATGTGAATTGTGGAGATCCAAGCCTTGATTCATACGTGGCAATGAAAAATGTAGTCGTCTTTGCCACTGTGGTATATTGGCATAGTTGTCTCGATATTGATTTGCTAATTTCTGAATTGGGGCACAATCTATTGAGTCTATTAAGGGTAATATACTATATTAACTCCTTTTTTCTCTATGAAGATGGGTATGGCTGACGCTATTGTGGATCTCGTGAGTAGTGGAACGACTTTGCGTGAGAATAATTTGAAGGAAATTGATGGTGGAATCATTTTGGAAAGCCAGGTACTCTCGCACACAGGCGCGGGCTCGCAAAGGACAGATAATTCCAAGTGATGTTCAATTTTTCAAAGTGAAAACCTGTGCTCACTTTGTTATGTGTCCAATACTACACAGGCAACACTTGTAGCAAGTAAGAAATCTCTGAACAGGCGTGAAGGTGTGTTAGAGATTTCACATGAAATGCTTGAAAGATTAGAGGCTCACCTCACAGCGTCTGGCAAGATAATGGTAAATATTTACATCTTTGATGTCACATTATTACACCCAGTTGATTGATTAACTTAGATACCTTCAATTATCATATAAGGTAACAGCAAATATGAGGGGCAATAGTGCAGAAGAAGTGGCAGAGAGAGTTCTCAGCCAAACATCATTATGTGGATTACAGGTATCATCATAATTTATAAGTACTTCAGTAGCAAAGAACATTTCTATTTTGGAAAACTAGCCATGAACCCCACACATTTGTGCAGGTAGATGGTAGAATTTTAGCTTTATATTTCAAACAGAGTTCTATTCTACTATATGAACATACAGTGCAGTATCCATAACTGAAAATATAATTAAATTCGCTCTACAAATGTAGCACCTCTATCTGCGTCTTATTAGTTTGCATGATTATAGCCTGTGCCCACGAAATAAACGATGCAGATGTTTGATCACAAAATTTCTACCCCTTTGAAGCGAAAGTGGATGTGTAACATCTATCATTTCTGTTGGGGTCCATAATATCTCTCATTTAATGTGTTAACATTGTGACATCTGTAGCATCCATTGACTGGGCCAAATTCCAATTGTAGTCTTGTAGCCTTGTAGCCTTTTAGGTCCCTTCAGTTAAACTAATAATGCATTACTAACTCACTAATAGGTTTGCTCTTGATTGCTAATCCACACTGCAATATTGTTAAATATGGTGATATGAACCTTATATTTTGAACTCAAACTTATGATTCCATTTGGTCCATCTTTATGTGAACAGGGCCCAACTATAAGTCCAGTGTATTGCACACTTGATGGCAAGGTTGCCGTGGACTACTATGCTATTAATGTTGTAGTTCCCCAAAAGTCGCTTTACAAGTCTATTCAACAACTGAGATCTGTAAGTTGTCTGCCTCGTGCTTTTCTATGGAAACATTTGCCTCCTCTTATCAGTTTCCTGTTGGCAGCAATTTATTCTTAGGACAATAATTTAATGCCGTGTTTGAGGCAGGCAGTTATTCTCAACTAAGTAAAATATCTTAGTAATTAACAAAATGGGTTTGCCATGTTGCACCTTGAGTGTTAGTATTCAAATCTTACTGAGTAAGCTCCATTCAGCAGATATAACTTATAAGTGTGGAACTATTAGCAGTGTCAAATCCTGGAGGGAACCCGTTCATTACAACCAGGACCAGGAACCAGAAATCCTGGCCGGTGCTGGGAGAATAAATCCTGATATGTAAATTAAAAATTCTGAATTCAGTCAGTGAACTATACATCTGGCCCAGAGCCAGTTAGGAAGTGGTCCAAGTAAAAAAATGTTCTAATTTGACAAATCAAACTGGAATCGGAAGGTTTTAGGCTTATAGTAGAACTAAACCGAGTACATGAGGTGCAGTTGTAGTACTAGTAGGCACGAGGAGGAGGTTAGCCTTGATGGGCAGGTGGTACCTCAGAAGGACACCTTTCGATATTTGGGGTCAATGCTGTAGAAGGATGGTGATATCGATGAAGATTTGAGCCATTGAATGAAGGCCGGATGGATGAAGTGGTGCCAAGCTTCTGGTGTTCTCTGTGACAAGAGAGTTCTACAAAAGCTAAAAGGCAGGTTCTATCGGGCGGCGATTTGACCTGCAGTGTTGTATGGTGCTGAGTGTTGGCCGACCAAAAGGCGACATGTTCAACAGTTAGTGTAGCGGAGATGCGCATGTTGAGATGGATGTGTGGCCACGCAAGGAAAGATGTCCGGAATGATAATATATGGGATAGAGTTGGGGTAGCACCGATTGAAGAGAAGCTTGTCCAACATTGTTTGCGATGGTTTGGGCATATTCAACGCATGCCTCCAGAAGCTCCGGTGCATAGTGGATGGCTAAAGCGTGCTGATAATGTCAAGAGAGGTCGGGTTAGACCAAAATTGACATGGGAGGAGTCCGAAAAGAGAGATCTGAAGGACTGGAGTATCACCAAAGATCTAGCCATGGACGGGGGTGCGTGGAAGCTGGCTATCCACGTGCCGGATCCATGAGTTGGTTGCGAGATCTTATGCGTTTGAGCTCTAGCCTAGCCCAACTTGTTTGGGACTAAAGGCTTTTTGTTGTTGTTGACAAATCAAACTGTCCAGTAGATACCCAATGGTGCAGGCTATGATTGATGGTCCACAGTTTGTGAAGCAGGATTTGGAACATTCCACAATAGGACAACTTGATGATAGAGCTCATAATAGAACTTGTTTCTAGAACACACATATGGTATTGGTACTTAGCATACAGTATGGTTCTTTATGTAATGACATATACATCTAATACTTGTATGTGCTCCTGTGAACTTGGAATTGCAGATTGGTGGCAGCGGCGTCTTGGTGTCGAAACTGACCTACATATTTGACGAGGAGACTCCTAGGTGGCGCAAGCTTCTGTCGGAGCTGGGAATGTGAGGCTTCCTGCAAGGTCGGCCATGCTCTCTCCTCTAGAATGGACCGTCTCAGTGTGAGCATCTGAACTTATGCTCGCTGTAGTGTGTACATCATACACAGAAGCGACCCGAGTTTGAAAAAAACGTATGCAAAGTGAACTCCCATGTGGACTGCCTGAGGAGATTTCGATATCTAGCGCCGGATATTGTGCTCAGCTAACGTATTCCCTGGACAGGCAGTGGTTGGTTTATCCCTTTTATGTACCCACCAGTTGATAGAGTTGGGGGTCCTGGATGTTGGGTGTATGTTGTTTGTGTGTGCCGGATCTTGCACCTTTTGTTGGTGCGGCCCTGAATAATTGGGGCTACCTGATATGATGATAATAATGAATCCCATTGTGGTTTGGTCTCCGTGACGTGTCGAGTCTATTCAGATTCCCATCTGAAATGCTCGTGCCTCGCTGTTCTCATCCCATTCGGAATTGCTCGTCACATCCATGTCTGTCTGTCTCTTCTCTGTATATCTCTTCCGTGCCATCTCTGAGAAATGGTTCGTAGTGATCCTGTTGGAGAATAGTTCTGTATCTCATCCACGTCGAATCGTGATCTTGAAAAGAAAAACTAAATCCATGCCAACATCTGGGATTTCCAAAGTCAGTGCCTGCTCATATTTTTGTCAAATTACTGCCCACGGTTTGTTTGAACTGCATTGGTATTTTGTAGGAAAGACTTTTTTTTCTTCTAAAGATGCAATATATTTGCCACGTTAATTAAATAAGTAGTAGAAGTTTAACAATGGGTACTAGTGTGAAGGTCAAAACAAAATGCCGAATTTCCAGACGTAAAATTACTTCCTCTATCCCCATACTATAAGACGTTTTTGCAAGCTAAGCATAGCTTGCAGAAATATATTGTAGGACGGGGGCATTACATTGGAAGAACAAGTGTGCTGCCGTCTCCGGAGTTCTGTTGCACAAAGGGCAAACTCCAGAGTTTGGCTATCCATGCCCGGCAGCCGATCCGCCGCCCAAACTCGTTTTTGAGCAAGTTTGAGTTCCGTTTCTAAACGGGGCATATATTTTTTGGACACCTTAAAAAAAGTCAAACTCCCAAACAGATCACACTCATCGGTCCTTCGACATCCAACGGCCATCGTGTGTGCATTGTTCTTCGTCTTCTCTTTCTTCTATTTCCACCTGTG